AGAATTAGGATACGATAAAAATTGTTTCCTGCTACTCCATCGAGAATCATTATAATTATATGATCTGAAAAATTGAAAGTACATTTTATAGCAATAAGGATAAACTTATTTTACAAATTGTTGTAAAAAAATGGCTTAAACTAACTTTGCGTTGCAATTACAATTTTGACAAAAAAATTTTGACAGTTTTCTCTGCTTCATTGTATTTTTATACCAAAGGGTAGGAAAGGTTTTTTGTTGCATATTTGAGCCAATTTTATTGTTGCGAGATGAGTATTTCTTCTGTAATTTTGAATTCGAGAATTGATGTTTATTTATGGTGTGTTTTAAATTGCAACTTTGCTTTTGTTTGAAGGGAAATACTTGTACATCGTTCAAAATATTATTCATGATTTTATTAACGTTTAACTCTTTATGCGCGTTAATTTTTTCTGCATCCTCCATTTCCGATCTAGAAGACAAGTTGAATTCAACAACTTTATCAATTTCCAAATAATCTTTTGACAATTTATTTTTGACAGTAGGATTATATTTTTTTCGTAAATCGTGATACAAAATTGAATTCATACAATTGTCTGTAATAATAGTTTTACTGAAATTTAGATCACTTGATAAAAATTTTTTATTTGAAGTTTTTCTCAAACATTCTCGCGGTGTATCGATTTTATTAGTTTTATGGGAACTATTTTTCTTTTCCAAAATACTTTCGTTAGTGCACTTTAAAGGATATTTTATATCATTACGAATGTCTTTTAAAATATTTGATTTTTCAAAATTTTTATTCTCCTCGCATCTAGTTTCAAGAATTCGAGGAGATAATCGAGGAATATTGCAATTAAGTGTCGATTTTAATTCTATATTTTTTTTATCCTTTTCCGAAATATCTTTTTCTTTTTCTTCGGTGTTACAAGAAATTTCGTTTGAAATTTCTCCTTTATGCACGTGTAACATGTTTATAATTTTTTCATTCGAAATACTATTTTCTTTTCCATCTTTAATATTATCTTTATTATTATGCATTGATTTATCATGTATCCTCCAATGATCGGAAACAACATCATGAGAAACGCGTAGATGAACACAATGCTGCCTGTTTTTTCTTCTTTTCATTAATTTATGAGCGCATACAAGTCCACTGCAATGGCGAAAAAGACACTGTCTACCCATTCGTTTTCTTCGTTCATTGATAGCCGATTCTATGAGCTAAGTATTCGCGAAGTAAAAATTTATCGTTAGCACGATTATAATATATTACACGACACACTTTTCGTTTACCTTGGTTTTTCGATTGAGCATCGTTAGACAGCACGTCCAATTTGATGATGATACGTCTGCAATCGAAGCAACCACGAGATCACTGAGCTGTTGTATCGTGAAAATCATTCACGATGGTAAGACTTACAGCGATTTGCTGGGGAAGTCGAAATTACCATTTTCATTTTTAGGAAGGCCTTTTCCTAATGCAAATGCAGTCTCCGATATCGGTTGGTCGTTCTCCAAAAACCATTCCCGGATCTTCGTATACCCTGAAAGTCGCACATTATTATTATTATTATTATTATTATTATTATTATTTTATAAATATAAAAGAAAAAAATCAAATATTCCATATTATATTGCTATAATAATACGTTCTTACATGTCCAAACGTTTCTTACAGCCACAAGCATAGACTTTGATCCGAGCTCTGCTGTTAATTAAAATTAATTAAAATTAAAATGCAATGAAATTTTAAATGTTTAAATTTAAATTAACATCATTTTTGAAAGAATATGATTTCATGCTTACCCTTCTTTGCATTCGCATCTGCCTGGTCGTCTAAAGGACAAGAATTAGTACTAAGTATTAGAACTTATGATTATGCGATGCACATGATATCGCTGGTCATACGATGCGCGATATTCTTTAGGATCTTAGCAAAAATTCTATTACTTATTATATCATATAAGTAAAAAAAGGGAAAAAAGAAATGAAAAATAAAATTAAAAAAGATCACTGGAGAAATCTCGCACGTATGACCAACATGACTCACTTTTCCCCTTTACGACGTAAGAATTCTCGCATTCTCGCTCTGCACAAGCAAGTGTATTCCCTGTAATAAACATATTTTTATTATGTTTATCTTCTTCGATTTCGATTCGAAGCTAAAATTTTACCTCTCTTTCAGGAAAACTACATAGAAGAAAAGCATTCCTGTAAAACCTGCGATGAACTTTCCTAAATACCAAACGAAGTTGTTGGTACAGTGGGGCATCGCAATTGAGTTTGATCACTGGCTCACCAGCGTTATGGCTAAATCAAAAAATGTATGTATGCAGTATAAAAGAATAAATTAAAAATATTTCATATTCCATAAAATTTTATTTTTAAATAATTATTTATATTTTAGAATTATCCTCGATGGAAAATACATCTTCTTTCATATTTTATTTCGACAAAATGTCTCTCGAATGTGCATCGAATAACATTCGCACACATCTTACCTTAATTGAATGAAATGATATTTATAATCGAAGAGCAGTATAATTGTTTTGTGAACGATTGCATTACAAACTTTTGCGACGATACCGCTCAATTTTTTACCGTGTGCCTCGTAATTTTTTTTTTTTAAAAAGGTTAGTTACTCCTTTGTCGCAATGTTTTGTTCATTTAATTTATGGTTATTTGAATTTTGAATTACATAACATATTTACAACTTCGAGGTTCACACGTTTTCTTCCTCTTCTGATGAGCGCGCATTTAAGAGGCACGCTTAAGAATTTCAACCGTGGGGGTACTTTTGCTACTGTCAGATTGATGGATTTATTAATTTTCGTTTATACCAGGATTTCGGATAACCGTGTTATGCATAGAACCCCCGGACCTGAACAAATGCAAAGTGCATCGATTTGCAAATGTCAAAATTATCAGAGCGGCAAGAACGTTGCCTACTCTTAATACTCTCATTTTAATCTTCTCAAATTTTTATTCTCATTTTATACGTTTTCCTTATTATATCATAATATAATTTTAAGATGATTTTTTTTAAATTTTAGAATTTTTTTTTCTTTTTTTTTTTAACACAATCTTAGAATTATTTCCAGTTTTAAATTAAAAAAGGGAAAATGTTTCTTTTTTTCCTTTCCTCTTCTTGTTATTAATCTTGTTATTAATAATTCTCTTGTTAAAATTCTTAGTCCAGGACACAGTGTTTTCGCATGAGTAGAGAGAAAAGCCAATCTTAGCTATGGATATTCCGAGGTGCAACATCAGTTCGGTCACGCATCTTCAACGGGGATCTGCCAAATGGTGGAAAGATGTTGAATGACCTGTCAACATATTTGCCCCACTGACAACACCCTCGAGCAAAGCTGTCCATGCTTGATGGAGAAAAAGGGAGAAACGTCTAAAGTGACACCCCTTCGTTCCACGCTCATTAGGGCAAATTCCTCGGTGCGTTTTATGCATTCCTACCAACGAGGATATAAATTTAAACTTGTCTGATTGTTTGGTTTCCTTTCGTCGTCTTGTAAAAAAAAAAAAAAATCCTTTTACTCTTTTAGAAGTCGTTCTTTTAAAAAAGAATAATCTATCGAAATTTGACGATTTATTTTATCCAAGATATTATTCGAACATAAGTCTCTTAGAATTTCTTAGACTTATACGTGGAAGATCGGTACTAAAATTGATCCGTAGAAACGTCATTGTGTGTCCAAGAAAACGAGCTCATTTTCGGTTACAACTAAAAATATAATATCGTTTAAGTATCAGAAAGCGAAGGATAGTGCAATCTTCCTACCCCTTTTCGTCCTATTCCATACTGCAAAAATAGAAGAGAGAGAATCACGTTCGACTAACAACGGTACACACCGCCAGCTGCGGCCACATGGCATTCTTTCTGTGATCTTGCTTTAAGAGCTCGTTAATACGATCCTCTCGGATGTTGCCAACGCACAGTTAATATTAGTTTCGAGTATGTTTTCTTAACGTATGAGTGTTCTTTCAACTAAGGCAATGCTTAAATGTTAAAGGAGAATCCCTGAACGTTATGTTCTACCCTTGTTTTGGATAAAAATCTATATGCTCTGCCGGACTGGGAAGGATTGGATTTAGGTTTCAAAGAGGGGAAGACTTAGTTTACCAAAGAGAATTTTAGTCGTGTTATTTCATTTCCTTCTCCATGTGATTGATTAATACAAAGATATATCGTTAGTACTTCTCGTTAATATTTTGATTTTTAAATTCAAAAAACGATGATCAAGCAATCGATTGAACGAATTTATAAAACTTTTATTAGCTTTAGTTTATGATGATGTTGATTCATTTCATTTAAATTTTTTTTTATCGAAGAAATAAGTAAGCGTATATATCTGTTCCTCGCGGGGGAGTCATGCTCGATAAATCTTCGTCCGTTTTGCGTAAAGCCATTCTCTGTGCCTACTTGCTCACGGTGGATCTATGTGATCCCATCACGGTGGCCGTAATCAAAGAAATTGTACAGAGTTTAACGAAGATCTTTTCCTTTTTCTCGAGATGATACAAGTTGACAGTAATAAGAAGAATGAGATTCAAGTTGATCTCGATTGGCTCCTGGTTTACAAAGGTGGCGGAGTTTCTTCGCGTTTCGAACCAATCCCAACATGTTCCTTCTCTAAAAATACATTTCGAATTGGTAGGAGGAGATGCAGAGACACCTCCTTCAACCGGGAAAAAAGATTCCTCTATGTATATAACTCACTCAAACAGTGTACACTGACTGTTTCATCGGGTTAGAATCTTACAAGAAGCTGGAAACGAGGGAACAATTTGACGGGTGTTTCGCGAAGAGATATTCGATAAATGAGTTTAATAAACCACGCCATTTCAATGAAATATAAATTTTGTCATTAGTCACTACTCTTTACTTTACATCTATTAAGAATTGTTAAATCGTATTGAAAATTTAATAATCAAATAATATAGTGATCATGTAGACGTGAAGATTTAGAAATATGAAATTACACCAATATATTCTATGTAGTGTGTACTTTGGTGATAATTTTTATAACAATAATATATTAAAAATTAAAAAATAAGTAATTTTGAAGGAATATCCTTTGAATAACTGTCTAGAAGATGAAGACTGAAAATAATAATTCGAATCAAGTAAATTCTGGAATCGAGCAACGTTTAAGAAGTCCAAAGTGTGCTAGATGCAGGAATCATGGGGTGATTTCCGGTTTAAAGGGTCACAAAAAATCGTGTGCATGGAAAGATTGCCGTTGTCCTTGCTGTTTGCTGGTGGTCGAAAGGCAACGGGTGATGGCCGCTCAAGTTGCGCTCAGAAGACAACAGCAGGCTCAAGGAAATTTTTTCAGTGAAAATGTTTCAACAGTTTGTCACACGCCGATTGATACAGCCGGTTCTTCATATTTTAAAACTGATCAAACACCAATTTGTCGAAGAGGAAAGAATATTCAACGACATCAATTGCATTTTACGCAAACTAGCATTAGTGTGACTCAAGGATTCTATGGATTGAAGACGATCCACGGTTTACCTGCAGCATGTTGGTATTTATATAAATAAATAAAAAAAAGAATGTATATTTAATTTAAAATTTTTTTTTAATAGAAGTATAAATAGAGTTATAAAATTTTCTTATATTTTAATTTTATTAATAATTATTTTTTTTATTTGTTACGATATTATATTTTTTATTCGATATCACTGTACATTGATAGCACTTTTTTATTATAGTCACCGCTGATGCTCCATTGTTGAATGGTATGTCACAAAATCAAGAATATAAACAAGAATCTGAAGATTCGAAAAAAATACAGTCTTTCCCAAATATGTATTCTACGATTCCATGGTTTGAACAAGTCACGGAACCTCGTAAAATGAAGAAAACTTTTAATAACTTCACTTCCGCTGTAAATGATCACAATGATATTTCTGTAGCTAAGAATGGATCTTGCTTGGAGAAAAAATCAACAATTTCTTTTAGTGTAGAATCTATCATTGGAACAAAGTGATACGTAATGAATATAATTATTTTATACGATATTGCATTTCATCATTGTAAGTAATTTTTTATGCGTTGTTAAATTTATATATATATGAAAAATTTTTTAAAATTCAAATTATTTTTTTGTGAAATGCAATCGATATATTCTAAAAAAATTTTTTTCCCCAAAAGTATACAATAATTATACACATCTTTTTAAATAATAGTTTTCTAATTTGTTACATGTATTTGATACATTAGTGTATATTAACATTATAATAACATATATATATATATATATATATATATATATATATATATATATATAATATATATATATATATATAT